AAATTGTAAACGTACCATTTTTTGTACACTAAGAGTAATTGCCTTCCGCCACATTTTTGAGGGTTCGATTACGAAGAGGTTCACCTCTTCCTTGAAAAGCTAATTAAGACTATACGATTTTCAGTGGCTTTGGTTGACTTACCATAAATAATTATTGTATTCTACGTGCTTACCAAAACCTTCAAAATAAGATAGATCTTAAAGGCATTTACCTAAATAACGAGTTTTTGAACATTTTTTCTTATGCAGCTGTCTGTGTGTCATGATTTCAGAACCACCTAACCATGTCAACATATGTTATTCAAAAGTTCCTGCTCTTCATGAATGTTCTTTTATAGTGCAACATGCACACACAAGAAGTTCTTTTCCGCTGCGTTTAATAGCGTAGGAAATTCATCGGATATCAACAAACGCTGGATTTCGCCCATTTTCGCCTCTATTTACGTAGGAAATTCCTCCTATATCAACAAACGCTGGATTTCGCCCCTTTCCGCCTCTATTTTCTCCCAGTATTCTGAGGTGAACGTAATTCAATTCTAGTAAACAACATCTTGCGACCCAATTCAACCCAATGAACTAAATAAATAACCTCAAGTGTGCGTTTAATCCCCTAATTCCCAATCTTTCATCAGATATGTACTCTACTGTAAGCTGGCCGCCAGTGTTACCAGCGTAGGGCTGCTGCAGCTAAGCCCTGCGAATTTTGTGGGTTCCTACAGTTTTCGAATTCCCTGACCTAACTGACGGCTAATAAGCCGGAAATGGTCATCTCAGCCTTTGTTGGTAATGTCCTTCACTCTGTTCACTGTCATTACTTCACTCATTTACCCTGATACAGCATGGCGCATATAGCAATATGTTTTGGCTGAACCCTGCCCCCCCCCCTTTACCGCTCGTCTTAATTGCTTTTCCCATTTTTTTCCGAATTCTTCCCCAGGTTCGATCGTGACTGCTCCGCTTACTACACCCCTGAGGGGCGTATGCCGCTGATATGGTTTAGGTGCCTCCTCGTCTTCCTGGAGAACTATCGAGATGCCGTCTGTCCGGGAGAGCGCGAGCAGCTGGTGAAACTCTGTCGGCGTCACGAACATCCCGGCATCACGCCCGAACTACGGGCCCTCATTGGCCTTATATCAACAGAGCCCAAAATCTAGACGCCTGCCTGTGTACCCACTGATCTGTAAATATATGTATTTCTGACGAGCAGTGTGACTTGATCTTTCTTGGACGACAGGGGCGGGGGCAGGAGTGTAGAGATAGGAGAACTGCGGCATGTTTTTCTCGTGGGTTCTGAGCCAGGCCCTTTTGTGAATTCTGAAAGAAGCGAATGTGTGCGTCCCAGGCAGTATTTGGGAAGAAGTAAACGTGGCCGTGTTTGGACAAAGGCTTTATTTGTCCGGCGTTTCGGAATCCAGCTCAGAGACAGTGTCAGGTGCATGTAATTTGTATGATACTGCATATTCCTTGAGGTTATCGCAAAGTGTTAAGCCTACTAAGGTTTAACCCTAACGGCTGCGATCTTCCAGGCCTAGTTCCTTAGGAGCTGAGAGAGCAGTCTTGGGAAAGGCAGATTGTTAGGAATAGTTTGTCCTACTGAAGGATAGAAGAGTAGTTAGGACGAGGGTTGATTTGGTCTGGCGTTGCGTTCGCTGAGAGAGCGCTGTAGCGTCGACGCGTCCGCCC